TTTTATTGTTTTTTTGTTAATATATATACGAGTGATAAATTGTGTTCATAAAATACATTAATAGAATGAACTATAGTTTAATTTTATTATATACTCTTACAGTAGTTAAGTACGTATTCGTAAAAATATAGGAAATAAATTTTATTATATATTAAATTATTTTGGATTCTTTAAATTGATTAATAATAACTACATGACCAAGTGGGAAACCTTTCACTTGCGTTGCGGTAACGTAATGACGCGTGCCCGACATGTTGTTAACCGGATTTAAATTTGAAAGAGACATTTGAATGGATCATCTGCCAATCGATTTACTTGTTGTTATATATGTCACCTACAGTAAAATATCTAATTAATATTGTTGTCGCGTTTAATATGACCGAATAATACAATGCAATATATGTAAATAAAGGCGAGAACTTGCAGTATAAAATATAAGACAGATTTCCATTTAGAAAAAAAAAGAAATTAAATGACATTTTCAAAGTCTTAAAATTTTACCAATAATACATTTGAAAAGCCGTATATCATTACCGTTATATATGAAATGAATGGTGTCTTCGAAATGAATGCGATTCAAAGTTGTATTCCCTAATTTCATTTTTAGTTACTATATTACCAAATTTTTAATTTTCTAATATTCGTTATTAATCTCATAAGCATAATAGTTAAAAGGGTTTTATCCCTTTCCAAAATCACGATTCGATAAAATTTACATCCGGATACAGATATTTGGTGCAACTTCATTAATAGTTAGATCGACCATTTTTGTAATTAAGTCTGACGTAGGCGCCTTGTACCAGTATAGATAAACTACTGTAGGAACTATGCAGAGATATACAATATAGCAATAAAAATAATAATAGCAAGAATGTATTTTTTAACTAATATTCAATCTGTGTCATTTATGCTATCAATAACACATCTGAAATTATAAAGACTGGATTCATACGTATTATTGGATTCATACACAGAATTTCATGATATAAAAATATTACCAACTACACGTCACCTTCCTAAAATGGTGAAAACTAATGAAAGACAGGACAGGAGCGACAGTTCCAAACTTCTTCTTGGTCAGTACATGGAATCCAGAGTTATATATAGTAGATGTAAAGATACTCTTCAAAAAGTCGAAGTGATAGAGTCAGTATGTTTTGTTAAAACTATCATACGGTAGACGTAAAAAAAGACTGGGTAAATGGGCAGACAGATTTATCTGGTAATAGATGTTTACATTTACCGCCATCCGCAGTCATCCAGTAACCATAGGATGTTTGTCGAATTGACAGTGGCTCTTATAAATATTATCTTGGTAAATATCTCCTTTATATATATAATGTATACAATTATGAACAACAATTTAGAATTTCTTTAGTTTTAAATATAATCTTACAATTTTTTATGTACTTCTAATCAATCAAATCATCCGTTTAATAGTTATTGGGCCATGAAAATACAAAATTAATAAAAGCACTATATTGTTTACTGCTGTACTTTATATATTGAAATAGTTAATATTCGTACATTTCATTTGTTATCTACAGGATCGTATTGTGTACCCAATATTGCCCTCGACTGACTTTGTTTATTTTACTTTCTTGATTAGCATTTTTTCTACGTCAATGGATCTCATTTTTATGGCTTTAAGAAAATAAATCGTTCCAATCAAGATTTGTTTAGGTTTCACTCAACTGTGCAGAAAGAACGTGGCCAGAATTCATTTAAAAATACTGTAATCATTTTAACTCTGATCTTTTATAACATATATTTTATTTTATTTTTATGTCTCGATGAATTCATAATTATCTCTCATTATTTACAATACTTAGTAATGTAAACGTGAAAGTAATTTTTTTATTACATAGAAACTATTGTATGTTTTGTTACTTCTTAGTTATCGTTACAAAAATTGGTTTCTAACACAAATAGTTTAGAAACGCCTATTGAAAATTTCAGACTTCTAATCACAAAAGATTCTTGTGCGTGTATAATTATGTCAGGTTTATTTCAACTGACAGTCAAAAGTATTGACATCGCTATTCGACGATTCGACTGATCATCATTTGTCGGCTGATCAGGAACATTTCCCTGTTGATTCCCAACACGTGTATTGTACATATATAGTTTATGTTTGTACATATATAATATATGTACAATTTTGCCTGCACTTATACAATACATGTTATTAAATAGGTATATTTAATAACATATATTATGCACCTGGTAAATCTCTTGTATTAGTACGATATAACCATTATACATATATGTAAGTCAATAGATATAAATATTCACCGCATATGATCTAAAATGTGGGTAAAGATACCCTGGTAATTAGGGAGGGCAGGGGTTCATGAGTATGATTAGTAATGGAGCCTCTATTGCTGTCAACTGTCAATGTATCTTGTCAGGTCGACCTTCACGCGGTCCTCTCTCATCCCATCATTGTGATCAATTCCTTATTATTTTGCCACAATAACCACAATATAAGATCTAACTTCATGGTCATTTTTATCATCCTTTACTGGTTCACCACCAGCGTATTCGAGTGTACTAATCCATTAAAAAACCCCTGTTACGTTAATTTTTTTTTCGGTTATACATATATCTATATGTATAACTGTACTGTACTGTATCTATATACAGTAATTTCTATAAATTAAACCCTTGGTCACGCCATAACTTGAGATAGATTAAAACAATTTCATTCGTTTATTTATGTCTTCTAATATATTGCAGAAGTTTTTACGGGACGAAAAATAAAAATATAAACAAAATTATTCATAATATTAGAATGTTAGAGAAAACTAGACAACCATTTAACTTCCTGCGTTTAACAGTTCGTGCATTCACAAAGACTGGACAGTGTCTACGTCAACTAGTTTCCCTCAACAAAATATTGACAAATATTTGCATAGTCAAACCAAAGCTGAATTTATGTATATACATTAGCTAACTACATTCAAAGCATAAACATATTGTGTTCTATTCTTTGTTTATAACTACCATAGCATTTGCGTCACGTTTACTATATTTACCCAATGTCTACTGTAAGATTAATACATTTCAATTGTTTGTCAGAAATGCCAATATAATGTTCATTTTAAACCCATCCTGTAATATTCATTACAGACGAAATACGTCTAAAGTAAGACAAATGAGTTAATCTTATAATATAATCAAGTGAAGGTTACGTTAAGAGCACTGTCCGAGCTATAGCACGGCATGAATGAAGAGATTGTTCCAATAGTTTTGTGTTCCGATATTTCTGATAACTGATATCCTTCATCATATGTCGTCGAAGTCGTCGGTGATCTATTGATATAACACACCGACTTACTTCCGATGTTTATGAGTTCGAATTCTAGCATGGTGTTTGCACCAATCTTTTGTATTGGGCTGAGTATTTTCTATGTATATTATGTTATGTATTATATTTACAATTGCATTTAAGTATTAATATCAATTGTATAATTCCCAAAACAGAAGCTCTGCTTAGCTTAGGACTAAATAGCGGTATGTGGATTATCCTAGGATTATTATTTACTTCATTAATATTAATATCTATTATAGTTGTTAAGATCCTATATTATCATTAGAACTAGTTCCGTTAATAAGCCTTTTGCCTATCATAAACAATCAGTGCCTTATATTAATAGGTACTTCCCTATAGAACAAATGAATCATTAACCAATTTATTAAAAATATATAATTCACACCTGTCATTATCATTATTCTAATATGAATAGTTAGCAGACTACGTCATTAAATACTAATGCCGAATGTGATCACAATTGAATTCATTTTATTTATAAAAATTGTTCATTTAATTATGCTTACTAGTGCACTAGGCATTATATGTATAATTAGTAAAAATCGGGACGGGATCTTACAACGTTTTATTTTTATTAAGATCACTAATAAAAAATTATAAACAATTACCGTAATGGTTATTGGTTAGTTAGTTTCTAGGGAACTCAATGAAAATAATATGTGGTAAGATACCGTGATTTTTACTAATTATACGTATAAATAAAAAAATATATATATAATAAAATTTAAAACAGTATACACTACGCACTAGTAATAAAGTAACGTAAAAAATAAATATATACTGATTATTGATCTGTTTTGTAAATAAAAATCCACACTGAAGTAACTAATGAAGTATAGGACCTGATTTCCGCGGAGCGGTAGAGTTGAATATAAATCATTACATCAACGCCTTTTCTGATTTATTTGCATGCCACGTGGGGGCGTGACAGGCACATCCTACTGGATGTCTTAGGATTATTTATAACACTTATTTTTCTCTTTTTTAGCAACAAAAAAACTATACTTTATCTAAACTACGTTGAGTATTAATGCTTTAAGATAATATAATCTTTAACATAGTACTATTAAAATATTTTATAATGTTTTTGAACAATATTTAAATAATGATAGTCAACGACCCCGAGTGTACTTTACAGTGATCTACATTGCAGCTTATCTTTAAATGTTGGTTTAATGTATATAATATAAGTTAATAAGATCTAACTCATATAAAATATTAAATCATTATCGAACTTCCGAAAAAAGGAGGGAAATGTTTTTATAGTTTACGTATGTGCCCAACATCTTTATGAATTACTTGCTGTGCCGCGGTTTCACATGCGTGAAATTTATAGCCTATGTGTTATGTGTATTTATTCATGTAAATTAAATTCAGAACATGATTTATTTAATCAACAATACTTATTCATTTTGAGTAAGTAACTCACAGAACCAGTTCATCGAGTTTAACTGGTTCTTAATGAAAATTCCATAAATAACGTAAGCGGAAATAACAACAAAGTGTCCCGGCTTGTCTCGACTCTCGGAAACGTGACGATATTAATCATTATTATTATTAATAATAAACCAAGTACGACGAAAGCGTATTCCCACTTAGGGAAACCCAAGAAGGTTATTCCGTAATTTAAAATACTTATTAGCCTAAGCGAACGATTAATCGGTAACAAGTGCACCTGAGTCAAGTTAGTTCATAAAATGCGGAGCTCGAGTAAAGTCGCCAAGATCGGAGCAGTTCTAGTGAGCTTTAGGTGAGAATATCCCATGTGACAATATTGGTAACGTTATGTGAAAACGATATTGGAAATTGGATAAACTGTTTAACAAACTACATTACTTCGTTCCTACTCTCAGTGCAGTGCGACTTTATCCGATACAATATATGTTTTTAATTTAATATTTGATCAGATTTATGTTCATTCATAACGTGAAGTTGTTATTCTAATATTATTGTGATTTTTTCCTTTTCGTGTGAAACTTTAGATATAATATGCTGTTTTGATATAATATTGTGATAGGTATTGCTTTCATTAAATGTTGTATTAAATTATTTTGTATATAGTTTTACGTTTTATATAAGTAAAATATTATTATTAACATATATAAATATTTACCGTGATAGTTATTGTTTAGGTACGGCATGATTTTGATATTACCTCACATCTGGTGATATCCCCCTTCGATCGATCCCCGTCCAATTCAAACGAGGATCGATATTACGACGGCCTGAGCCGAGGTTCGAACCCCTAATGGTGCCCTCAGACTAAAGTCGTATCCGTTAGGCAGGAGTTGGCCTTCAGCCGCCCCATAAGTCCTTCCGCGGGTTTGGAGTGCCATCTGCACTCGCCCCCTATAGTCCGGTGAAGCTGTAAAAGCCAGCTGCGGCTAACAGCAGTAGAGTAGTCCGAAAAAAAAAGATATCAGATCTTAATCAAATTTCTTTTAACAAGTGACAAGTTGTTAGCTAGTTGTAAGAAAGTTTTAGCTACATATTAATAGTAATTCAAAATACATTAAGTTACACAATTTATATTAGTAATTATTTAAATAATCCTTTATGTAAAAATATTTAAAAAAAAGAAAACTGAATAATTTTTACAGTCAGATTTTAGAGGCATCTGAATATTGTTTATTAACCTAAAAGGTTAATAAACAATATAGATCAAATAATCTATATTTTGAAAACAGTTGTGAATGATTATTTAATGTAGACTTAATATTAATAACACTCACAATTGTTTTTCATTGTTATTAATATTTATAATAAGTTATGTCAGAATAGGGGACACAAATAGACAAAATAATGTAGAAGGGAATCTCATCCCCAAATCCTACAACCTAAATCATCACGTACAGTGGTTTTTGACGAGTTTGTTCGCCGCGAAATCTCAGATGTGAAATAATCTTCCAGCTGAAATATTCCGTATAGACTACAGCATGGGGTATTTCAAATATAAGGTTTTTTAAAAATACAGGCCATATACCTACTCGTTTGCTAATTTTTGTGATGTGAAAACAATATCTAAAATGTGAATTGTAATTGCAAAAATGAATGCGTTTTATATTTTCTAAATTCGAGTATGCGGCCAGTGGAATCAATCGGTTTCATAACTTTTATAATGTCAATAAACTCCGCTGTGTTGAATCAATGTGAAATATTCAGGACAATACTTTATCTCTGTCATTAGCATCCAGGTGTTTTGGCGTACTTATATAGTTCCTGTTACATAGTGATTGAAATTTACCGAATATTTAATGAATAAAAATTAATTATCCGTAAAAATATGCATGTTTTTAGTACAAAGTGGACGTGTGAATTAGCTGGTATTTTTTTACATAACATAAACTACTTTACTTTATTTTGCCTAAAAATAAAACAAACAGCTGTAATAGATGAATGGGTAGATCGACGAGCAAAGTAACAACATTAGAATTTCGTTGTGCTTTTGAGTTCTTATATGAATAAATATATATAAAAATCTTACATATGCGGCTAAACTGCCCTATGTGAATATGAATGTTTTCAAGTTCCATATAAAAAAAAAATAGACATAAATATTTGAAGTGTAAAAAGATATCTATATTATTGGAAATACAATCTATTCCATAATTACAAGGATAAAAGAAATATGGTTGAATTATAATGTAGGAGACACATAAGTACAAGAAAACTGAACTTAATTCCAAGTTAATATATGAACGATTTTAGAAAATAAATAAATACATACACCGAAATAAATATATACAGGATACCTGCTCTTTATTCAATTAACGGCTCTACTCCTTCGAGTATCCTTTTAGACCGCCTGCCTCTTTGACAAAACAGGTTTCGAGATTTCCGAGAAATCCAATGATACTTACTGAGAAACACTCAGAAACAGTTAATGATAAGAATGCTGAAATAAATAATTAAATTATTCTTGAGGTAGATACACACTACATATACATATGTAGATACATTACGCTTAATCCATATGTACTGTCTATGCATTAACAGACTGGCATATACAATCTTCATTCATTCTTGTTGACTTAATCTGGAAAAGTTGGACAACTTCAACACTTTTACTTCAATTTTTTTACCAAATTATGCTCAATAAACAGGGAGACTGCAGATCTTGAAACATAATTTGCAGTATACGTGTAAAAATACTTATTACAACTTTGCATTTATATATAGAATGATAATGGCCAACTAATTATAATTTAAGGCCCTCAAGAATTTCTACCCTACTATTATGTCAAAGCCTATATCCCGGTCACCCATCTCAAAAACAACCACACAATGCAGCCTTGACCTTGTTCATTACTATCTACCAATAAATATTACAGAACTATAAACCAAATAATTACTGATCTTGTCACTGCTATTTGCTTCCTTATACGAAGAGATATTTTTTCCGATAGAAAACTTCTTTCTACTATTGTGGAGCCTTTTTGCTGAGACCTGACCTACTTTTCCGCAATACAGTAACATACCTGTAGATATAAATAGGTGCGAACCCTGTATTTGAGCAAAGGTTTTAATGCTGCTCATGAATGTCTGTTTTGTTCACACCATCAACTATATTTACATTCACAACCTGGTCAAGTATATATTATAGTATTCTAAAACAATTTCTCAGTATTTTACGCCACCCACGACAATAGAATCGACCGAATAATTATCAAAGCAAAATACTATCGCTAATAAAGATACAACATTTATTCTAGGTAAAATGTAGTTGATCTGAATTAAGGTTTTGAATTAACATGTATTTTTAGTTACATATATAAGTATAAATAAACTGAATAATTTAAGTATACTTTCTTTAGTCATAGCACAGATAAGATAATAATACGTACAATAGAGAACAATTTCATCTCTTATTTTTATATTTTTATTTTATACTACTTATGTCACGATAGTTTTTTTTCCAAATAAAATATTTTTTATCACTAAAGTAGCACAGCAGCGTTCGTTTTATATGATTGTAAGTAATGAAGTACCTGCAGAAGCAAAATTCATGTGCGCGCTACCGACTATTTATTATTCTAAAAACTACTTATTATTATGCACTAAGAGTATTATTTTTATTATATACAGCCTACTGTGCTTAGCACACGTAGCTGCCACTACAGAAGACTTCGATATTAAGGAGGACTATGAGTTTCCAGAAGCGTTTAAATTTGGTGTATCGACGGCCGCATTTCAAATAGAAGGAGCGTGGAATGAAGGAGGTATGTAACTTTATAACCGTTTAATATAACAATATTTTTATTTTACTGTTAGCTGTGTCGTGCAATCTTACACTCATAAAATACTATAAAAAATACTTTGTGCTAATATCACAGGTTCACCGAATTTCATTGCAAAGTGTATATTAATATTTATGCAAATATTGCAAAACTCTATACTTAATTTCTAGAGAATTCGTTTAATTTTAGTATATTTATTCATATGTGCTAGAATATAAATAAAAAGAGAATCATTTGGTATACAAAGCTATGTTTTAAAGTAACAATATATTTAATAGTATATTTTATATCCCATACAATTTCTCTGTTATAATGTAATTAGCGTAAACCATTAATAAGGTTTGAGTGCCATGTGGTTGATCGCGATAATGGATGGCAGGTTTTCTTAATTTATTTAATAATTATTATATCACTACGTATTTGTTTTATGAATACATTTAAAAAAAATACTACTTATTTATTCAAAATGTTTTTTTAAAATAAATATATAGTTTTTACTTCATAAAAACCTTAAACCGTTCATATGGTACAGATTTACGTTTTAAACCATGTTTAAACAATAAATTAGTAGGTACTCCTGACAAATTTTATACATAAATCATAGATAAAATAAGTTTACCGATTGAAATAAAATAAAAGCTTCTTCAATATGGCTGAAGAAGCTTGTGTTTTATATGAATAGTTATTCAGTTTTAAAATATGGATATCATATATTGGAAAAATATGGATATCATTGTATTGGAAGTAATTCACCAGCAATAGGCATCATATGACCGCATTTCGGGACAAGTATATTTTGATTGTGTTTAGTTTTTTATTACTTTCAACATTAGCCGCAACGTGTATACGTTCCAAGGCCTTAATATATGATAACATAAGATGTCTTTGCCAAGTCGTGATTATTTCTGCGTTCTCTGAAGTGTCGTTTTAATTTTATCCTGAATGAAACTTTGTTTTTTCAGTACAAGCTGTATTAACTTTATAATATGTAATGTAAATGTTTCGCCATAAATTATATTCTTACTATTTTAAATTAGCAGTTACTTTAATTACTACTTAGATTTGAAGGTATAATAAAATTAATTTAACTATTTTTGTAGGTAAAGGCGAAAGTATGTGGGATACATATATCCACGAACATCCTGAATATACTCTAGATCATTCTAATGGAGATATAGCAGCGGACTCATATCATAAATATACTGAAGATGTTAAAATAATCAAAGATCTTGGAGTAAAATATTACAGATTCTCATTTTCTTGGCCACGGTAAGTATCATATTACATTCAGTATATATAAATGAATACTATAAAATTGTATGTATGTACAAAACAAAATAAATAAAATTGAAAATAACATAGATTTCGAATATAATTCAGATCATTTGGTCTGTCATCCACCACACCAACAAATTAATACGAACTTGGATGGTTATTCACTAGAATCAATGAGCATTATTGCTGTTTTGCGCTCCTCTATAGAAAAGCAGATGTATAATAAAACCTATTACTCTCGAATATTTAAATTAAAAAACTAATATGTGATCAACTCCCACAAAACCTTCTGATTTAAAAACAATAAAATCGAATTATATTAAATCTTGACTGATAATAATTAATTAATGTACGTTAAAAAAAATATTTATGAGTATCCGGGAAGTCAAAGTTTTAAAATTATATACTTACAATGCTGACATATGAAATTTGATTATAAAACCTTTTCGATCTTAGGAATTTTACCACAAATTTAATACAAAACCATACTAAAATATTCTGTAACCGCATGTATGTAGGAAAATTATTGCGAGGAAAACCACAGTGGTTTAATGACCTATTAATAGATATTTGCTATGTGGAGTTTCCATCTTTGTAGTTTTCATTTTCCACAGCATATTGCCACAAGGGACTGATAATAAAAAAAGTAAAGATGGTATAGACTACTATCATAAACTACTAGAAGAACTAAGGAGAGCCAATATTACTGCAGTAGTCACTTTATTCCATTGGGATATGCCTACACCTCTAATGGATCTTGGTGGATGGAGCAATCCTAAAATGGTCGATTATTTCCTGGATTATGCAAGATTTGCATTCGAGGAATTCGGAGATGAAGTTAAAATTTGGACCACAATGAATGAACCACATCAACATTGTTATAATGTAAGTACCTACCTTATCTTTATCATAAGGAAATTGTGTACTGATAAAATAATATAATATTTTGTTAAATTAAAATAATTTGAACTAGATAATCATGGTAATTTTGTATGTATGACTACATCACTTAAATATAATGTAGACATTATGATTAAGGCATAAATGTTTAGTTGTAGTTACAACTGCAGCCCAAGATCATAGGGATTTTTAGAAGGCAGGTCAGTAAGACAATCGTGCTGACTTCAACACGAGTTACAGACTATTTGCTATTACCTACTGTCATCCCTCCTCCCCAATTCCAAGGCTAATTTAGTGATGCTCCCTAAATAAATCATAAATTTTATTATTATATATATATCTTTTAAATAATTATAACTATAAGTGAAATAGAAGTACATTCCGCGTTGCATATTCGATCGTGATATGGCTTTAAAAACGTTGCACGTTTATAGGCTTGTGAACTAGTAATACGAGAAATTGGACACTTTGTAGACTAGTTGGAGGTATCCTTTTTTTTTCTTCATCTGATTGTCGATTTATTTGTAATTGTATTGTAGTTTTGTATTTGTGTCTAGGATATTGAGTCGATACTTCGCAAACTAAATTAATTATTCAGGATATATAATTATCTTGATGATAATTATACCACTTGTATATTTTTAATACAAAGTTAAATAGTGTACTGTTATTCCTTACAGATGTTTTATTTATTTTTATGTATAATTTTAAGATGTTATATATTATATATATTAGGTACTATTCAACTATGTTTACCTGTATTCAATTCTCAATTACCATTTGAATAATTTTAGTCCTATGTAGTTATATGTGTATGATTTTTATATACCAGATTATTTAATATTAATAATTTTCTATGTAGAACATGGTTTAAAGTTAATCATTATATGTATATACTTAAATAAAAGTATTGTTATTATATTTTTTCGGTATTGCAATCAGGAACTTATGCACATTATATGCTATTGGCTCATGCTAAGGCATATCGTTTGTATGAAAAGGAATTTAAGCCCCGTCAAAATGGTAAGTAATTAACATAATATATAACAAGATCCATTAGACCAAAATTGCACTTGCTCATTTATGCAGACTCCTGCTATTTAGATCTCACTGAAGAGCAACTTAAACTTGAGCGACTTCAAAATTTATGTATACGTTTCATATTTGGTCTGCGCAAATATGATCACATTTCCCATTATCGTACTTCAAGTGGCTCCCTTTTTTTTTTTTTTTTGACTTGGAGAAGAAGAAGAAGAAGTGGCTCCCTATTGTCGCAACTCACACATCCTATCACTCCTTTACAGCATTCTCTTTAACCCCCACACTCCTGATTATCTAAAAGGCATATCCGTCGCGTAATGTTAACGATATCCCTTATGAACACATTAAAGTATCTATCAAATCCCACTTTCTTTCCCTTTAAGCATATTGTCCTCATTTGTCTAAATATTTTCTGGATATCGTATGTTTATATATATTATATATATTAATAGATATATTTATGTACAAATGTATATTTATGTTCATTACGTGCACCACCTACTATTTTCTTATCTTAATGACTTTCTCTACTGATAGTCTGGAAGAGATTGCTTATTTTGTATCAGTTTATGTATTATATCATTTTGTGTGTTTTCTTTGTCTGGTGCAATAAATTAAATAATATATAACAATATATTTTATCTAAGTAAAATAGTCCTGAACAATTCAGACAACGCCATGCAGTTCTAAACTGCTTTTCAGTTTGGACACGTTTTATTTTATTATAGGTATTATATAAGTGATAAAATTATTCGATGCATTTTATTGCGTTTTATATTATATTCATAATAAATAATGTAATAATCTTATATCTATATATAATTCTCGTGTCACAATGTTAGTTACCAAATTCGATACTGCGAAACGGTTTTACCGATTTATATGAAATTTTATATGTGTATTGTAGGTCTGAGAATCGGCTACTATCTATTTTTCATACACCTAAGTGATAACGGTTATCCACTCCTAACATTTATTTTTTTATAATGTGGCATTTAGAAAATACATACAACCCCAAATTTTCACCCTTCTACCACAAATCCCTATTTTTAATAGCGATTTAGATTTATATCGCAAAATAACGTTTGCAGAGCTAGCTAGTTGTTATATATATATTTAGTCCGTAATCTGTTTCTACATTCCAAATTGATAATATCTTATAATTTCGTCTTTATTGTTCAATTCACCTTGTACCATAACACAACTTTTGAAGTGTAAGGTTAATTCTAAAGGTCAATCAATGCTTACTAAACTTTCAACAATACTTTATTGTATTATTGAAACTGGTTTGAAATTCACTGTCTATATGTTTTTTTTAGTTATTTTGTTACACATATAATAACATACAAAGTATTTTTTTTTTCTTAAAACTATCACCAGCTCGTCGTACCACAACAAATAAATAGTAATAAATAAATAGTAATACAACTTAATTCCAATAAATAAACTTGGATATTTTTATAAATATTAGAATATTGATAAATATAGATAAAAATAGATAAATAATTGATAAATAAACACAAAAATATAAATGTCGTAATGAAAAATAATAAATATTTACTATTTGAATAGGGAATAAAAAATGTATTTTTTATTATTTTACATTGTTGATATATAAAAATAAGTCATTCATTCATTGCTATTACTTTACTAGGGAGAGTTGGTATAACACTTGACGCTTTTTGGGCGGATCCAAAGAACAGCACCGATCCTCTAGATATAGAAGCAGCTGAACGATATCGCCAGATGCGTGTAAGTAGTATCCGTAATTATTTTATAATGTCTTAAAATCAAACATAGATTAACGTAATTGATGGTAGATACCTTTACAAATGGTTGGATTAAACGTCGTTGTAACTGGAGCGGAATGAGTACGTATACAATTATTAAAAATCCAGGAATAATTAAAAGTATATCAACAAAAGTTAAAAGTAAAAAGGATATCAAAATAATATGAAATACATAAAAAGAATGGTAGGCAAGCTGAAGGAAACAGGCGTCCTATAAAAATACTATATGTAGTTGACAATTAATATTCTTTCATGTATACGTGTATGTATTATTATTGTATATATATAAAACTTCCATGTAAGTATATTTATATAAGTATTAAATAGTTGTTGCATTGACTTAATTAATCAATTAAATACCGCGTTCATAAATTACTGTTTATAATAAATGTTAGTTTAACGCATTCAAATTAAAATGGCAAGATATATGTATCTCCGTGCATACTTTATTCTAGGTACACACGCAATGTTAATCTTTAGATCAACTTATGTATTTTTGACAGTATTTGAATATCTCAAACGTTACTTATGATATAGCGAAAACAACCGGTAAAAAATAACCAGCATTTACTAATTATTACTATTTTTCCAGTTGGGTATTTATGCTCATCCAATATACTCCAATATTGGCGACTACCCTCCATTAGTTCGTGAGATTATTGATACCAATAGCAGATTACAAAATTTTACAAGATCTCGATTACCAGTATTTTCAAAAGAAGAAGTAAGTTTTATTTTCTTGTAATATTTAGTCTAGTTATAATTAATTAAGCTTAAGTATGTTATTTGTATATATAAAGTTTAGGCCTATCTTTTTTTAATATGCAAGTGCATAAAAGTTTAAGCTTCACGGTCAACAATGCAGAACAGATTTAATAACAAATGTATCTAAAACAAGTGTATAAAAAATATTTCGAGTTGAAATAACTTTACGAGCCGATAATCTTTTCTTAATCTACCGATTTCCGCAAGCAATTATTTCTTTGAAGATACAAAGACGTCTTCTCTTTGGGTCAGGTGTTCGATGTATTAATGTAGTTAACGTCAAAGTACTCGTAAAACACAAAAGAAAAACTTCGACTTTGTATGCCCTTATCTCGTGCTTCCTTAATACAACTAAAAGTTGAGAGGCCGACTCAATTAAAGTAGTGGACGTATAAGTATTTTCGATGTATAAAATTTTAATGCACACCTATACACAGCGCCATCTAGTCCCAAGCTGAACAGAGCTTGTGTTATGGGTATATTAATATATAGATTTTTTTGTAATATAATATACATAGAAAATACCCAGACCTATACAAACAATCATACTCATGAATAAAACTGTCTGTACCGTGCGCTGAGTCGAACCCGCGACCATTGCCATCGGAAGAAAAGCGGTATACTAAACCGCTAGACTACCTAGGCAGTCACACATTATAATTCATAATTACAATATAATACAATTGTATTGACGGTTATTCACAAAAATAAATAAACGTGCAAAAATAAAAATAAAGAAGTTATTTTTATTTTTGCATGTTTGTTTATTTTAGTAATGAATAAGCTTATGTACTTACATAAAAACTGTTCATTAAAAATGGCATAAATATTTCATTCAGTAAATACATCTCAAAGAGTAAAGAAAAAAATACACGATCCATTCAAAGGGCCTCTATACCAGGAACAGGTACATTTTATGTCGCCTCCCCTTAGGAGCTCTAATAAATACTCATCGTAGAAACTGAACACTCTTAAGTAATAAATGGCTGCAGTTTTCTATAAGGTGGAAATACGTAGAACTTGTGGCAAGCATTAGTTATTGAAGTTGCAGTTTATTTATTATATGTAGGTATATTTTATGTGCTTGTATATTTACCATACCAGGTATAGAATATTAGTAATTTATGGCCTAAATTCGACATTGTTGCCAGTATTTTCTAACTGTAATAATATTTTCAGATCGAATTATTAAAAGGGAGTTCTGATTTCTTCGGATTGAATCACTACACTACATATTTAATGTCACATCCTACCATTAATGAGACATGGACTATTCCGTCCTGGGACCACGATACTTTTGTTAGAATGGAACAAAATCTAGCATGGCCGATTCCAGGTGCTGATTGGCTTTCGGTATGTAATATTTTTTATATTTAGTTGTATAGACAAAATTGTTCACGACTGTCCAATTATTATCAAGGATCATTGTTCACGTTTGACGTGAATTAACAATCTAAGGGTCAAGGTGTAAAAGATATTTCACTCAAAAAAAAAATATACCAGCCGATAATTATTTATATTAAGGTAGTGAAATTATTTATTACAAGTGGTGTTATTCTGCTGTATAAACTATATTACTGTAAAATTTCATCAAAATCCGTTCAGTAGTTCCATAATAATAATAAGAAACGTCCATCCATCTCTCTATCCGTGCTCACAAATTTTCGCGTTTAGAATATTAGTAACCGTAATTAGCTAAGCAAGGTGTGTTTCAGTTGAAGTGTGAAATAAAACATTGAAATTACTGGGCATTATCTTCTACAGAATAGCAACGCCTAAAAGACACGGACGTTCATATAATGTCTTCCGTGGTGCTATTCAAATACATATGTATATAGATGCGAGTTACCACTTACAATTAGATGGACCGTTAGCTTGTTTACCATTCGAATCACATAAAAGAAGTATGCCACGTGAAATCACAGGCTAGTACAGTAAGTACAGGCTAGACACAAATATGTTAGAATTTTGAAACGAGCAACAAAATAATATAAAATCTAAAATCTGTTATAATCCTTACTTAATATTACTTAATCTAAGTGCATTGCACTGGTATAAAATACGAAAATGTTTATCATCAACATTGATAAAGAATTATCACGATAGTCTAGGATAAATATAAGGTACGTGAGATCATAAAACAATTACGTACATATTAATTTTATGTACGAACGGAATTGCTAATACAAACAATACATAATGTGTTCATAACATTAGAGATTTAAAATTATGTAGTATTTAAGTGTAATGGCATAAGATTCAAAATAAGCTGTGTAGAATAATTTATTCCTTGACTCATAATTTAAAATTAGAATTATTTATTATGGTAATATTGCTCTCCACGAAATATATTAAAGCGGTCAAGTGTAAGACTAATTCGTACAATATAATTACTTTCTTTATTATATAAATACAATGTCATTATATAATGTTGACATTATCTGTTTAGACAACGAACTGAGAAAGTGTATAAAACTTTCATATCATGTATAGTTTAATAATAATATATATATGATTGATTAATTTGCTTATTTTTAAACCAGTGGCCGTACGTTCAATTGTCAGACTGTAATAAAGAAAACATGTAGGTATATGTATATTCACATGTATACATGTATATATATATATAGATACATACATATTTGTGTACAATGTATGTATGTATGTCAAACGTGGTAATGTGTATAGTGTACTTTTAATTAATTTTCTATACTCTTTCTCCATATAACTATTAACTGTGCGTTTCTTACTTCTCTATTCGCGTCGTTTTCGTGAGACGGATAACAAGGTTTTACTTCAAGGAATAATAATATCCTGTATACAACTAGCGATTAAATTGTGTTATTTTATGGAATTATTTAAATTGATTTATTGCAGTAATAGAAATAAATAAATAGAATTGTAATTAATTTATAATACATATTGTTTTACCAGGTATATCCACCAGGTTTTAGAAAACTTTTGAATTGGATTAAGAATAATTACGGCGATGTGCCAATCGTTATTACTGAGAACGGTATGTGTGATTTTGGTGGCCTTAAGGATTACACGAGAGTATCGTACTACAATGATTATCTGTACCAAGTGTTATTGGCGATGTATAAAGATAATGTAAATGTTGAGGGATACTTTGCTTGGACTTTGTTAGACGACTTCGAATGGACAGACGGATATGCGTAAGTAAATTAATTTCATTTATATATGTACTAGCTTTGCAACCCTAATGCAAAGTGCTGAGGAGGCTACGTATACTCATAAATGCATTAGAATTGCTTTGCATTACATGAGACTTAAATATTTATAGATCCGACTCTAGACGCTAGAGGATTCTTATATGTAGATTCGATTATACCTGAATAAATAACTTTATGATTATATCAACTTTTTGACTTATTATTTTTCAAATTAGTTTCCATAATTGTAGTTTTTGTCATAAAACTATGTATTAGGGATTTTAAATAAATTGAAAGGAATATAAAAAATCTAAGACAAGACATACATTATGTAAACGCAAACTATATTTTACATTTTTATGTAATTGGTGAAATGGTAAAACTACCTGAAGGCCAACCTAATGGTAAGACATAACCGTGGGTTATATCTTACCATATATATAGATATAACATATACATGTATTATGAGAACTAAATAATATCCTAAAACATACATCTATACCCATTATTTTATAACTCTGATTTTTTACGCAAACAAACAAATAGCTTTGATCTTTGAATAATCTGTAAAAATACACTGTTTGATTTCAGTGGATATAAGAATAATTCTAACTAACAATAACACCTGCTTACTTTATTATATTCAGCGTATAGCATGAACATTTAATTACCTAATTACCACTAATATATTTAATAATGTTACTAAACTTGATAATTAAATAGCCCCACCAGTGATTTACATAGATACCTAATTATTCGCTACAATATTTATCTTCTATGTTAAACTGAATAATTAGTAGGTAAGTATTTATATATGTAACAGTCTGATAAATTTAATAACTATGTTGGACTGATCTGTTAGTAATTTAGATAGTTTTATTAAGTGACCATCGAAATGTTTGAAAATCAATATATCTTCCTGTAAAATATCTTTTCAAAGATTTCATATACTAGAACACCAATATTAAATAAGTCTAAAGCTAGGTCTATTGTTAAACCAATGGTCCCTTATTAACAAATTAAAAAAACTTTAGCTAGTAACAAACAATGCTATGATAGAGTATCTCAATAATTAATCTCAATAACCTCATTTGTCATGGATAGCATGGTTTCTAAAAAGTTTCGTCCCATATACACTCAGATTGTAGAATGACCTACATGCCCAGTTTTTCTCTAGAGATTGCATTGCATGGTGTTTTTCAAGAAAGATATATTAAGGTTACTTAAGGGTCCGTAACGCGCACGTGATACTCCTGATATTTCAGATATAAGCTATGGTGAACCATTTATGATCAGATGGGCCGTTCGCTTAAAAAATGCAACCTTGCGTTATACATAAAATTGGTAGTTGGTATTATCGATTTCATTCTATCACGATTCATTACATAAATTAATAAAACAACGCTATTTTTAATTGAGGCAACTTGATTATTATTTACCTATAATCGTGACAATCATTTATTCGATTCTATAGGTATAATTGCTATAAATAGTTCTCGTGTCTCACGATTGTCTACCTGATGTTCAATTCCGAACAATAAAATATTAACCTGTTTCTCGACAACGTTGTTGTGTTCCATAATCATTCGTTAGACGAGATCCATAAATTCCTAATTGGAACAATGCTGTGTAAGTTGATATATTCCAAGATACAATAAATTTACAAAAAAAGGTTAAGGTTTATGTTCGTTTTGATTTAAGAAAAATATGACTATGAGGGGTAGTCATGTTTTATTTTTGTTTTACTTTAATATGTAGCCGTTAGTACAGTCTATCATAACCCTATAACTTTGATATCAATATTTTTTTAAAGGAATGAAATCCACTCAACTAACCACAATGTAACTCGGCGAAATAATGGATTCCCATAAAATTATACACGTTCCCACAACTTTATTATTTTCCAAGATTCAAACTGTGTATGTACAATACTTAGGGTACTTAATGATAAAATAATAAACGAAAAAATAGCCCAAGCAAGGGTTGCTCTTAAATGTTTCTAGAATAACCGGTTAAGTAGGAAACAACTATTTACAAATGCTATCCTATCTACAAACTTATTTCAAGTAACTATTTTCTGACGTTATGTTTCCGAGTAATTGCATCATCTTAAAAAATGCAATTAAAGGGCAAACGACGGTGATTAGCATTCATATTCACCTACAAAAATTTCTGAGTCAAACTATTTTGAATAAATTCTTATTGGATATTTAAAATATCTTAACGCCAGTAATAATATTCAAAACCTCTACTAGTACAAAATAGCCCTGAAATCTGTAAGTAAGTTAAGAGTTACTTTTTTACATATTTTAAAACTAAGTAGCCATCGCTTTTGTGTCTTTAAATCTTATAAATTACGCAACGAATTTTAATGCAATATCAGCAATAGATAGAATTATTGAATAGGAAGGGTTAAGTCTATAATACTTGCATAATATAGTACAGAAACGCCTAGAACTTAAATTATTTGAAATGCAAATGTACGGGGACGGTCACTAATATATTTAGTTAATTGCATATTATTTAAATTTACGGTGGTTGGTATTAAAAAAATATTCGGGTCGGTTTATTTTAAATTTTCCTCCTCTAGCACTGGTACGTTTATTTATTTAAATCAGATACACCATTTTATATTGGTGTATAAACATACGTATACTAGTAAAAAAACTGTATTCGTATTGTAATATGAAATTAATATATGCTTTATTTATATACTCGTATATTTTTAAATAATTAAAATAATCATTCAAATTTAATTCAAAAACTAGTTTGGTCGCTATGTGCTTTATTGCCATGGTCGTCTCATTCTAAGTCCATTAAATCTCAAACGAGTTAAGGAGAGATTTAGAGACAGAATGGAGAAAGAACATTTTAGTACTGACCTAATACAAAGAGAGCATTCTAATATGCCGCCCTTGCTCACAATTTAGTATAACTGTCTTTGTCTATTAATGTAATAAGTGCATGAATATATGAAGATGAGCAATATAATAACTACATATATATATATATATATACTTTATATATATATATTAAAGTATATATATATATAAAGTATATATATATATATATGTAGTTATTATATTGCTCATCTTCATATATTCATATTACGACCTCAGTGGTTTAGCGGTTTAGCCCACTGCATTACTTCAGATGGCCGCGGGTTCGATTCTTCGCACGATGCAAACATTTGTATTCACAAGTTTTTGTTTATATTGTCTGTGTCTTAGTATGTGGTTACAAAAAAGTAACATGTTACATAAAAAATAACACAAACGCTTTCGAAAGTTTCAGAAGAAAAATCGCTGTGTAAATTTTCCTTTAAAAAATAGAAATAATCTTTATTTGAATAATCCAGTGTTCATATTAAGAGCACTTTTGAATAGTAGTTACTTTTATTTCTATCTTTAATTCAGACTCATTCCTACTATATGTTTCTTTAAGTACTTAACTATGATTATTCTTACAGAACAAAGTTTGGGTTATATGAAGTGGACTTTGACAGCCCAGAGAGGACTCGAAGGAAAAAGTTATCAGCCGATAACTATAGAAACATAGTAGAGAAGAGGAAAATCGATTTTGACTACATCAAACAACCTAAGATGAAAAAGTTGCCATACCAAACGCCAGAAGAAGAAAATACTGTGTGATCGTACATTTCTGTGATAAATAGTTAATTATACATTATTATTATTAAATTATGTGGTTTATTTGATTAAGATGGTAAAATTATAGAAATAAATTAAAAAAATATATTTATTAGAGTTAAAATTTGTGAATACGGAACAATCATAATTTTATCGAATTAGCAGTGATTACTGCTCTTTTTTTGTTTATTGCACTGTCCGTCGATATGTCTGTCCATCTGTCAATCAATTGTCTTTCACGGTGAACCGTTATGTACCGGTCGGCCTTGAGTAAGTGTAATTGTTTAGTTTTCTATATTTTAACTATGTATTTGTTAAAAATATACCTAGGTGATTATTTCTTTCCAGTTTAAATATAATAAATTAAAATACATTATATTTTACCATGACCATAGTGATACTAGTTGTGTATACATGCTACATGGACCACATTTATATATTTTTGTTATACACAAGTCTATAGACAGTTTACTTATTATACATATAACCTAAAATCAACCCTAAATATAACCCTAACCGCCTATTCGGCTTATATGCCACTAAGGTCATCATTGGTTCTTGCTGAGTTGCGAAAATAAGACAGGAGGCCATGTTCCACGCCATATACGGGCGTTAGTCTGCGTCTCTGGGTTCATAATAGCTGAATTACTTGCAGATAGGAACTAAATGAGGAGTTTAGTGTATAAATGGTATGTGAGATAAATTTATCTGAAACCTACGTGTGCCATTTTGAGCTGCGTGTAGAAAGTAGCCTTGCCACAATTTGGTTACACAGTTGTTTGTCCTTCATATGTCTTCTTTACTTCCGACTCAATGTTGCATATTTTTTATCACAGTCATACTTATGAGTACAAACGTTGTCATGTTTTGCATTGTAGTTTGTAATAATTATCTATTATATAAAACGTACAGTTCGTAATACATCTCCATATCATATTTATCTATCAGATAACATCTTTTATTGTAATGTATGTATACAAAGTCTCAGAACATATATCTTTAGTATATATCAAAAACTTATATGCTTATATGGTATCGTCTTTTGATATTTTCGTTAGCTTTGTTTGGTTTAGTAGATACATATATATATCGTCGATTAAATAGAAAAATGACATTTTTCAAAACTAGGAGCTAGTATTGCCTCCTTTTATATAATTTAATTAAATTAACAACGCCGTCTTAATCATCATCTAAATACTTTTAAAATGATATATAATACTTCTGTGTAAATTTAAACAAAACTTTAAAGAGAAAAATAATTTAAATAAATTTTTAATTTTTTAATGGAATGGATGACTAAAGCCATTTTTCTATTTAATGACGATATATATTTATATATATACATATATTTATTATATTGTATGAATTTGCCTCAAATAATGTTTTTAATACATTAAATTAGTGTAGTTACATTGTTTAGTCAAATTGGAATATTACTTCATTAAGTAAAATTCCTCATTAACTCAGAAACCGTGTTCGCCTTTATTAAATCCATGATTATACAAAGCAGGTTATACAAGGACGTCAGTTGGATCTATTTGTAGGTACTGAATTTCAATTTGCAGAACAACCGTCTCGGCTGAATAGAGAGCGCCAAGTTTAGAATAGCTGACCCAGCGCAGCCGACTTCGGCACTTTACGCTTATTCTGAACAAATCCCCTTTGCAATTCCGAGATGTATTTTATTGCGAAATCGTGATAGGTGTATTTTCTTTTCAGTTCCGTTTATTTTTTGCTAATTGTTCTATGAATTTTAGAAAATGTTCCTTACATTTATATAGATACGATTTAAGTTTAATTATTATACTAATTTGCTACTATAGCTACGTGCTATAGTAGCAAATTAGTATAATAATTATTACACCTGGTAATTGAGATACTGAATTTCTGAATAATAATTTCATATTATATATTTGAGTGCACAAATAGATGATTATATATTTTAATAATAATAGATGTAACTATTAGAATACAAATAAAATTTGAATTGAAAATATCTTAGCAATTTATTTTCAAAACCCCCCTGATTAAAATAAAGAAGGTATTACAGAAAAATCTTCAATAATTTTGTCATAAATATTAAATTAATTTATGGAATTACCTATCTCTTAGGGTTGCCAATTATTTAAAGTTCTGTTACAATATTTATAGAAAACAGTATTTCAAATTCTTAGAATGTTGAGATCGGCTTATCACAATAAGCCTATAGGCCTTTTTATTATATATTTTTTTCTTACATAAATATCTGCTTACCATCTTACTTGACTAAAATACATAGTCTGAGTATTTTCAACAGATAAGTAGACTTAACCCATTTAAAAATTGCATTGAATATTATATTATATGCTATTATTGATATTGAAACAACTGTCTTCCATAAGGTTTAAAGATCCGCCTATTTTTGTATTTCTTATACAGTGGTTTCTGCTTGATTTAATTTAAATATTTGATTACCATAGTCAAAAACAACACATGTGAAGCAGAGGAATCTGATGTACCAGATAAAGAAGAGGTACCGAGGGCTACGTGAGGAAAAATATGATAACCATTAAAATGTAACTAATACCACAACTTGATATGTACTAAATTTTTTTACAAAAAAAAATGTGATTATAAAATTTTAAATCAAGGAAACGGAAATAAATCCGTTACCTGTCGAACTAGCTAGATAGCTTCTATTAATTGTATAAAATAAAACATAAACATTTATTTTATTTTGTATTCAGATCACAATTCATAATGTTATTGTAATAATTTTTCATTTTTTTACATTTTTCTGTTCTATAGTAGTACAAGAACAATTATTAATGTCGTATGTCGTAGCAAATATTTATTTTATATTCATATAATCAAGGTCAACATAAAGAATACAACTAAGCATTTATAATATTATGGTGTTACAACTTGATATGTACTAAATTTTTTTACAAAAAAAATGTGATTATAAAATTTTAAATCAAGGAAACGGAAATAAATTCCGTTACCTGTCGAACTAGCTAGATAGCTTCTATTAATTGTATAAAATAAAACATAAACATTTATTTTATTTTGTATTCAGATCACAATTCATAATGTTATTGTAATAATTTTTCATTTTTTTACATTTTTCTGTTCTATAGTAGTACAAGAACAATTATTAATGTCGTATGTCGTAGCAAATATTTATTTTATATTCATATAATCAAGGTCAACATAAAGAATACAACTAAGCATTTATAATATTATGCTGTTACCTATATCGAATTTGCACGCATTGTACAAAATACACTTAATCCGTATAGAATATTGTTTCTTATCTCTTAATCTTAAATACCAAATTGGACCAAAAGTTGCGAAAATCCTACAGATTATGAACAGACTATTTCCTTAACGCTTCGGATATAAATGCATATTGCTAACTACGACTTACCTAGTAAGATAATAATACTCGGCAACTTCGGGAGACGTATTTCACGTAAGTACTTAGGTATCTTAGTAGAGGATCAGCCGTTAAACTTCACATAAGTCGAATTGAGTAGTAACAGTTGGGTAACAGCTTCATTCAAAAGCGATAATGAGGTAACAATAGTCTGGGATTTGAGTAAGTTAATAATTCCTTTAACTATTGAAGCAATTATTAACAATTCAACTTGTAATATATGTAATCGATTGATTTCTTTATTTTTTATAGGAAGGCAATAAATCCTTTACTTGTCTGGTGATCAAACTATCTTCATTTAAGTTAATATGGCAGGTAGGTAGATATTTGTATTAACACCAGAAAAAAATAAGAAATTTATAGCGCTTGTAAAAAAAATAAGCTTTACTTCTATTAAAAGAGGCGACACCTCAGAAAACGAATCAATGGCAAGTGGCCTATTACTGTACTTAATAATATTGGATAATAATTTGTGAAAACCATCAATTCCGAGAACAATAAATAAAGTATAATGATGATAGTCATCGTCATTCTCATCGGAGCAATCCGGAAGTAGTAGCAATCCGTATAGTGTCAACTGTTAATATTATTATCATTTACTACCTTGTCTCTTATACCCGCAGACCGGGAAACACTGGCATATCATAGATGCCCTTGTTTTCGGCCTTAAACATATTTTATAACTATCGTAACTACATTTACGATTACCGTTTTATTACTAGATACAAACCCGAGTGGCGAGTTGTCTACTGCCTTCGGTAAAACACGTGCTTGATTTAACAGACAGATAAGTATAATCAGACCACAATAATAATGCTATCAAAATTCGATTTACAAGAGATATGGTTTAATTGTTTACTTACTACAGATGATGCTTGCTATTTTTTACCAAGAATTTATCGTTATGGTTTCCAGGCGGAACCGCTTGGAGGTCAACCTGACATTGTACATTGCTAGCAATAAGATTATCAGTCCAAATTACTAAGAATCCCCTTTCCCCCGATACTAGCTGATTGTGGTAAACTATATGATGAGAAATAATAACCAGAACGTAGTACCTACTGTAGACTGAAATCTTCTATTTGATTAGGTTTATAAGGAATCTTTCTTTACGTTCAGCATTACTCAAATTAATATATTGTTAGGTGTAACTTCCTGTGGTGGCGCCACCGTCGGGCGGCGCGTCTATAAAAGGCTGCGAAACCCGGTGTGCGGCCTCTTTTGGTCGACAGACGTGCTCTCGAACGAATCTCCGTATCATACCGTGTTTGCTTTATAAATTCTTTTACTGATTTTGTTAAAATTAATTATACGATTTGTTATCAGTTTCTTTTATTTAATTAAATTTAGAGGATATTCCTAACATCAGAAGTGGGATTCGAGGCCATTTTTGGTCGCGAATAACATTTTTGACTAAGGATTGATTACATGTCGAGTAGAAAACGCCCATCGTTACGAGAGCACGCGTCTCCGTTCTCCACCTATCAAATATAGGTGAACTAGGAGCGTTAATGGACGCAAGTCTCAACAATTGGTGTCGCTGGAACAACGTTACGGGTAGCTCAGCGAAACGGGTTCGCATATAGCTGCCGACGTAGATGCTGACGACGTGCCTGCGCCGGCACCGGCCCCGCCACGCTGTCGCCGCCCGCGCAGACAGTCGGCGCGCCAGCCAGACCCGCCAACGAGCGCACCTGGTGCGGTGGCGCGATCGGTTGCTACCTCAA